CTGCATCTTCCTGTTTCTTGTATGACAGAGGGAAGTCCTTAATTGAAATCTATTTGATTAAAAAAAAGTTCTGAAATATATATTTGCTAGGACTGAAGACTAATCTAAGCTGCCCTTTGGATTCAAGATAAAGTATTTGTAGTTCTGCCCATTTTTTTTATACCGAGTTCACAGTAGAGAGGGTTTTCCACAGAGGGATCCGTTTGTTGCAATAAAAAACTGAAGATTTTGCAACAAGTTAAAATGAAAAAAATTCACAAGTTTTTGTAGGCTAAGGACATCTCATTATGCAACCTTTCTCAATTTTTTTGCCCTGGAGAAACTCTTTTTAATTTTCAGGTCTCCATACAAGTTGTAAAAAAAATGTTAAACTTCACAAAACAATTCACTACTAACTTACACAAAACATAATTTATATTTTTTGCAATAAAATAATAGACCAGCAACTGAATCCTGAGGGGTAAAAATTCCCATCAGTGTGAATTATAGCATTAAACAATGCTATTTTTTTTCAATCTTAATCTCCTGGGGGACCGCTAGTGACCTCTTATGGAACTCTAGGTGTTAGTGGAACCCCAGCTGAGAAAGGCTGCGATGACCAGGCTCAAATTATCTTATTTCAGACACATTATGCAAGATCTAATTCTCTGGAGAAGCTCTAATGCTGGGAAAGGTGAGTTCTACTTCTACTTGGTCAAAAAGCCGGCTAGATGACCCTGGGCCAGTTCCTCTTTCTTACCGGTAATTCTATTCTGAATCAAAATAGAGCTGGAAGGGACCTTGGAGGTCTTCTAGTCCAATCCCCTGCTCAAGGAGACCCTATACCAGGTGTAGGCAACCTGCTGGCTCAGGAATTCTGGGAGTTGAAGTCCACGAGTCATAAAAGAGCCAAGGTTGCCTACCCCTGCCCTATACCAGTGATGGCGAACCTTTTAGAGACTGAGTGCCCAAACTGCAACCCAAAACCCACTTATGCATCGTTGGGTGCTGGGTGGGTGTGGCCCATTGGGTGGGTGTGGCCCATTGGGTGGGCGTGGCTGCGGTGGTAACGGCAGACTGGGTGGGACTAAAAAGTTCAGTCAATCAATTCCAACTTTGCAAGATCTTTTTTTTCCCCGCGAGAAGTTGAAATTGACTGATTGATTGAACCTTTTTTTTTTTTTTGCACACGGCAGCGGAGGCCTAAAGCGAAAAGGTTTTATAAAATCCAGCTGAAGGCCTAGAACTGGAGCAATGGTGCGCGTGCCCACAGAGAGGGCTCTGAGTGCTGCCTCTGGCACCCGTGCCATAGGTTCGCCACCACTGCCCTATACCATTTCAGATAGGTGGCTGTCCAGTCTTTTCTTAAAAACATCAGTGATGAAGCACCTATAACTTCTAAAGGCAAGCTGATCATGAATGAGGCAACAGGAAACCACTTCTGAAAAAAAAAATTGCTAAGAGAACTGCAGAGACTTATTCAGGCAGTTGCCAGGAGCAAGACTGATTTGAAAGAGCAAAAGAAAAAGAAAAAAGGAACATAATCATAAAATTATGCTCAACACAGTACAAGATGAAATAAATGGACCACACATTGATTTCTTAGGCATTACCAAACTGAAATGAATTGAAATTGGGCACTTTTAATCAGGAGATCTACTGTTTACTAATTCGGACTTGAACAACAAAGAATGTCAGGAAAGATATAGCAACAACAATACTTGATTGCAATACAGTGAATGACCAAATAATATCAATTAGATTTCACAGAGAATTCTTTAATATGACAGTTATCTCAGTTCTATTGACTGATACAGAAGACTGCAACTTAATAAAGGATTTCAGGGAGCCGTTTGAAGAGACTAGAAGCACTGGTACAATGAGGTCTGTGAAAACAAATACAGAATAACAAGGAAAGCTTTCAGACATATCTTGAAACTCAGAAGCTTCTAATTGTGAATTGATATGCTACAGCAGGGGTGCGGGGTATAGAAAAGGTTGGGAACCACTGTGCTAGAGGATATCAATGGCAAGGTAGTAACTGATTTGAAGAATATCCTACAACGATAGATGTTGAGACTCTAGAAAGAGTACAGAGAAGAGCAACAAAGATGATTAGGGGACTGGAAGCTAAAACATATAAGGAACGGTTGCTGGAATTGGGTATGCCTAATTTAATGAAGAGAAGGACGAGGGGGGACGAGATAGCAGTGTTCCAATATCTCAGGGGCTGCCACAAAGAAGAGGGAGTCAAGCTATTCTCCAAAGCACCTGAAGGCAGGACAAGAAGCAATGGATGGAAACTAATCAAGGAGAGAAGCAACTTAGAACTAAGGAGAAACTTTCTGACAGTTAGAACAATTAACCAGTGGAACAACCTGCCTCCAGGAGCAGTGAATGCTCCAACACTAGAAATTTTTAAGAAGAAACTGGACAGCCATTTGTCTGAAATGGTATAGGGTTTCCTGCCTGAGCAGGGGGTTGGACTAGATGACCTCCAAGATCCCTTCCAACTTTATTATTATTATTATTTTTATTATTATTATTATCATCATCATTATCATCATCATCATCAGTGCTTTTTTTCTAAAAGAAAAAGGTGCCGGAACTCACACACGTCATACAACCCGCCTTGCCTACCCTACAAGGTTCCATCCAAAAAAGGTGCCGGAACTCCGTTCTGGGCATTCTATGAGAAAAAAAGCCCTGATTATAATAATAATAGTAATAGTAATAGTAATAATTATTATTATTATTATTATTATTATTATTATATTGAAATTCTGCACAGTAGAGATATAAAAATTAAGATACCTTAGAAGATATTTCCTACTTACAAGAACATTTAGTACTCGAAGTTGAAATTAGATCAGTATTCTTGATCATTACGAAGTTGGAAGGCTATAGGAATTGATGGATTTATTTAACAGCCACCAGACCCTGGGCAGCTTACAACTCAACCCAATGGAATTTGAAGCATATCTACAGATATACTATAGGGCAAGAAACAGAAAAGAATTATTAGTTCTAACTAAGCTATCCTAGCTAATATAATGTCACAGGGAGCAATAGATTGGAAGGGATGAATGTACATACCATTACCAGAGAAGAGGACTTAACAGATTGTGCAAGTTACTCATACAATATACCTAATTTCACATCCTAAGAAAATAATGCTTAGCATCATCCAATGCAGATTTAGAGCCCTACATGGGGAGGAAGATGCCAGATGTTCAAGCCAGTTTTAGAAAAGGCCAAAGAACATGAGACATTATTGCTGATGCATGCTGGATAATTGAGAAATCCAAAGAATACCAAAAAGAAGTCAACATACGCTTCATTCATTATAGAAAAGCTTTTGATTGTGCCAATCCTGTCAAGTTATGGAATGTCCTTAGGAAAATAGAAATCACAGAATATCTTGTTGTTCTCATGTGAAGCCTCTACACAGAACAGGAAGCCACAGTCTAGACAGAACATGGTGAAACAGGCTGATTCCAGGTTGGCAAAGGAATGAGATAAAGTTGTATACTCTCCCCTTATTTATGCAGTCCAGCTTTTATAAATATTATCAGAATCCTCATTTAATGAAGCAATACGAATCAAGAAAATCACACCTCCTCCAAAACCTGACATACAACCAAACCTACTTGGAAAAAGAAAGCCACATTTTTTTTCTTTTAAAATGCAAAGAATCTAGGAAAGTACCAAAAGTATTTGCTTTATGTTTAGATTTTTTTCACTCAAAAAGTGAAAAAGCGACTTATGACCGTTGCAGCATCCCCATAGTCACATGATCAAAATTCAGATGCTTGACACCTGACTCATATTTATGGCAGGTGCAGTGTCCCAGAGTCATCACCTTTTGCGACCTTCTGGCAAGCAAATAGGGAAGCCAGATTCACTTAACAACCATGTTACTCCTAACTTAACAACTGCAGTGATTCATTTAACCACTGTGGCAAGAAAAGTCGTAAAGTGGGGCAAAATTCACTTAACAGCAACAGAAATTTTGGGCTCTATTGTAGTCGTAAGTCTAGGACTACCTGTATTCAGGCTACCTTTCCTTTTCTCCTGACATGATTTTAGCCTAGACCTATAATAAAGTTGGAAGGGACCTTGGAGGTCATCAAGTCCAACCCCCTGCTCAGGCAGGAAACCCTATACCATTTCAGACAAATGGCTGTCCAGTCTCTTCTTAAAAACTTCCAGTGTTGGAGCATTCACCGCTTCTGGAGGCAGGTTGTTCCACTGGTTAATTGTTCTAACTGTCAGGAAGTTTCTCCTTAGTTCTAGATTGGTTCTCTCCTTGATTAGTTTCCATCCGTTGCTTCTTGTCCTGCCTTCAGGCGCCTTGGAGAATAGCTTGACTCCCTCTTCTTTGTGGCAGCCTCTGAGATACTGGAACACCGCTATCATGTCCCCCCTCATCCTTCTCTTCGTTAAACTAGACATACCCAATTCCAGCAACCGTTCCTTTTATGTTTTAGCCTCCAGTCCCCTAATCATCTTTGTTGCTCTTCTCTGTACTCTTTCTAAAGCGGGTTCTCAACCTTGGCAACTTTAAGACTTGTGGACTTCAACTCCCAGAATTCCTCAGCCAGCAAAGCTGGCTGAGGAATTCTGGGAGTTGAAGTCCACAAGTCTTAAAGTTGCCAAGGTTGAGAACCCCTGTTCTAAAGTCTCAACATGTATTTTTCAACATGTATTTTTCTTTTGCCGATCAACCGTCCCCACAGCAGCATTGCTTTAAACTAGTTAATTCTTATAAAATAATTATCATGGAAATGTGTTTTTTTTTTCCAATGCGAAAAAGGCTCCGAGCGACCGTTAGACGACAAGTCCGAAATAACCGCTCTTCAGCTCCTGCCCACTTGCTTCTCTTTCCGGGCGTGGCTTGAAGGCGTGGCGAACGACGCCACGCCCTCTACGAGTAAGCTTCCGTGCTCCTTGCCCTTTGGCCGTGGGAGGCACCGCCCTTCTGGCGGTCGCACCAATCAGCGAGCGCCCTGTTGGCCAAGCCGGGTTTCATGCAGCAGAGTCCAAGATGGTGGCGCTCTGGGTTCGGAGGGATGGCTCGGCGGCGGCCGCGAGGAGGCTCTTGGTAGCCGCGTGTCTGTGCTTGAGCAGCCGCTTTCTTCCCCCGGCAGACGCCACAGGCCAGGCGGAAAGCGGCGGCGCTCCTGCTGCGGCGAGGCCTCACCGGCGGTTCGAATACAAGTACAGCTTTAAGGGTCCGCACTTGGTGCAGCCGGACGGATCGGTGCCCTTCTGGACGTATTCGGGCAGTAAGTAGCCGTCATTCCCGAAGAGGGGAGCGAGTCTTCATTATTTTGACCTTGTGATCGGCTTGGGAATCTATTCTGAGGATCAGCGATTATTAGGAGCACAGCTCGGGAAGGGAGGAGCGCCTCTGGGCATACGCAGAGTGCAGCTGGTCCGTGTTTGCGGCTCAACTTGGCTTGGCTGGCTTGTAGGTCAAGGAAGAGATTTCGCTGTGGTCGTTAAAAGGATAGAGGAGTGTGTAAAAAAAAAAAAAACCTGATTCTTTCTTGCAGAGTCGTTTTATCTATAAAAGTAACATCCAGCCCTTGTGGGCTGTTGCCTCATCTTTCTTTAATAAAAATGTGTAAAGGAATTGACATTTTCATTTTTCAATCCCAGATGTGGGTTGAGTTGCGAGAGAGTGACTGGCGCAAAGTTACAAAGTTGTCTCTCTGTGTTTAAAGAATTATAAAGTATTCCTTCACAACTTGCCCTTCAGGGATGAATATTGCAAAGAATCCTGTGGTACACACAGATATGATCCAGCAAGGTGTTTCTTAATGGGACTGCATGTTTCTGAACCATTAGCCCAGACATATTGCCTTCTCCTGTGCAGATTCATCTGAATCCCTAATTCCTTGCCTTAGAGCACAGAAATAGCCAACAGAAAAATGTGATTACTTGACCCAAAATTTCTCTGCAGAAGCTGAAATTCCTCTGTTTGATGAGGATATACTGTATTGAAAAGAAAACCAGTTTGCTGTAGTAGTTAAGATGCTGGCCTCAAATTTGAGAGACTGAGAGCTGTAATCCAGCAAGCTAGGTGACTCTTAACCCAACACACCTCACAGGGTTGTTGTTCTGGAGAAAATTGGAATAGGGAGGAGTATTAGGAATGTTTGTTGGCCTGAGTTGTTTATAAAAATAATAGGCAACATATAATAATAATAATAATAATAATAATAATAGTAATAATGATAAAGTTGGAAGGGACCTTGGAGGTCATCTAGTCCAACCCCCTGCTCAGGCAGGAAACCCTATACCATTTTGGACAAATGGCTGTCCAGTTTCTTCTTTAAAACTTCCAGTGTTGATGCATTCACCGCTTCTGGAGGCAGATTGTTCCACTGGTTAATTGTTCTAACTGTCAGGAAGTTTCTCCTTAGTTCTAGGTTGCTTCTCTCTTTGGTTAGCTTCCACCCTTTGCTCCTTGTCCTGCCTTCAGGCGCTTTGGAAAATAGCTTGACTCCCTCTTCTTTGTGGCAGCCCCTGAGATATTGGAACACTGCTATCATGTCCCCCCTCGTCCTTCTCTTCCAATTTGATCTGTATGGGTTAAGGTCGTTGACAAGGAATATACAAAATCGGAGGTCAGGGGATTAGTAGAAACAACGAGAAGAGAGTACTCTTTCTAGAGTCTCAACATCTTTTTTACATCGTGGTGACCAAAACTGGATGCAGTATTCCAAGTGTGGCCTTACCAAGGCATTGTAAAGTGGTATTAATACTTCACGTGTATATAAATAATAAAGTTGATGCTCTGAGTAGATTGTCATTGGTCCACATTACTAATGTTTTGGAGCAGCCTAATACAAACACCACGGGAAGTAGGACATAAAATGTTAACAAGTTCCTGGGCAAATGTACTCATATTCAAATAAAACCCAGATTGATCGTATTACTGTACATCAGTGTTTTTCATACTTGGCTACTTTAAAATGTATGGACTTCAACTCCCAGAATACCTTAAAGTAGCTAAGTTTGAAAAACACTGCTCTAAACAAAAATAACAATTCTTGTTACATATGATATAGTGAGTATATGATTACTGTTCAAATGATCATATACTCACTATGTCATGTAGCAAGAATTATTTTTGTATAGTCTCTTGCTGCAGATTCCATGAAGTCTCATGTTGGATGAATGGAATTAAAATCCTCAAAAATCATGTCTCTTCTATATTAATAAAGATACCCTTTTCATTACTCCCAGTCTTTGCAAGTACACCCCCCTCCTCCTCCTGGTTTTTCTGCTCCATACGTATTTAGCATTGTCATTGAAAAAAATCTAAAAATTGCCTCTCTCCTTCTTGAGAAACTAAATTAATTCAAACATTCAACCAAACTTCTAAATCTCTCATAGTTGAGAAGTTTCCCAACTCTTTTGTTAATAGTTTTCCATTATAGCAGGAGATGGCATTTTTGCCCTTGTGGCATAATGTATTGGCACAGGTACCATAATATTTTATTCTTAAAATTCATGATCTAGTTAAATTACAATTTGTAAAAGGTTTTGGTTTCCAGGGCCTGCTGGTAGAGTAACTTTATTTCAGCTATTTACTATTTCCATTGGGAATCCTGTTATTTTCTAAGGCAGGTGACTAATAATCAGCTTTCATTATATGAAATCAACCATATTATATGGCATTGAGGTGTGAAAGTGTTTCAGTAAGAGACCTGGTTCCTTCATGGAATTAAATTCATTTATTTTTTCCTGCTCTATATTGGAATCACTCTATTATATAAGATAGTTAAATTTGAAACAATATCCTTCTGCCTTTACACTGATTTATAGCTAGAAATGTCTTTTGTCCATGTTAATGTTCACATGTGACTCCAAAGTGATTATTTTCTGCCATATGGCTAGGATTCATGTGAATCCAATGTGCTCCATTGGATATAGCAACTTTAACGTAATAACATGCTTTCATTTCTTCTTTATCTCATTTAGACTTGAAGTTAAAGATCAGATTTTGCAGAGTGACTTGTTCACATATGTCATACAGGATGCAAGTATCAAAGTATGACTGAACATTTTACATTCATCCAATATATAAAATTAAGCTGATGTCTTTAGGGGTTTTTTTTATCAATCAACTCATGATTATTTGCCATCCATTTCCTATTCTTGGGTAGCTGAGTCAAATTTAGGGAATTGACAGTATAAACTGTGGCTGTATAGTGATGTGTCACTTTCTAGAGCAGGGATGTCTTGGCAACTTTAAAAGTTATGGACTTCAATTCCCAGAATTCTGAGAGTTGAAGTTCACAATTCCCAAGACTGGACACCCCTGATCTGTAGAATGAGAGTGCCTTGTTCTGCTTTACTTATGACCAGAACACTTATTCCTGGTACACAGACACACTTTTAAATTGTTTGTCCATCCTGGTTTATAATAAATTGTTTATCTGATGCTGAAAACATTAAATGGTTGTTATTTTTGAACTCTGTTCTTGGTGGACAACTGATTCTAGGCTTTGCGTTTTGTTTTTTTAAGTAACATGTTGACTTTTTGTTACTGATTAAATCAATACTTGAAATACAAAGCAAATTACATTTGATATTAACTCCAATTACTGGACAAAAGCTAGCATTTAACCTAATAGCTTCTTAAGTTAGAATTGAGGAACAGTTTAGAAAGTGCTCTGTTAATCTTTAAAACAATTTGGAATAGTATTGAGAAAGATTCCTCAGCTTACACAAATTGTTGCCTGCTTACCAACATCTCCTGGAATGTAGTATTGGAACTGAAGAGCAATATTTGGTAAATGTTTATTGTAACCTGCAAAATGTAATATAAATCTATATTGTGATCTACAGCCAGCCTGCCTTTCATTTATGAAAATTGATCCTTTGAGGTCTGTTTTCTAGACTCTGGCATATAATATTGGAATTGAAGAACAAGATTTGATATATGTTTACTGTAGCCTGCAAAATGTAATTATAAACGCCTGCTTTTCATTTATGAAAATTGATCCTTTGAAGTCTGTTGTCTAGACTCTGCTGTACACAGTAGCTTAGCACTGTATACATGGTGTTTTTTTTCACTGTTGTAAGATTATGAGTTTCTTTGTGTTAAGTCCTAAATTCCTTTAATCTCGGTGATTCTGAATCCAGTATTTGTCTCTGAAAGACTAATGCAGAGGTTAACCAATATGAAAGAAACAAGAGTGCTTAAATCTTATTTATTTCATTTTGCTTGTTAATTTTGATACGTCCGAGAAAAACAAGCAACCCAGAATCACTCACTGAGGTCCAGGATCCATTGGGGCTTGAAACTGGATGTTCCCAATCAAAGCTTTAACTACTCCTAGCTCTCTGATCTGCTACACGGCCATGATATTTAATGCTACATTGTTCTTGCTTGGATGTGCCTGATTTATGCCAGATCTAACTCTCCAATAACCACAAACTAACAGTTTGGTTTCGACATCCCAGATCTACAGTGCATCTTAGGACTAAGGTTGGCGAACACTGTCTTAAACAATGTGCAAAGCTAACTTCAAGTTCCAAAAGCACTCCCCCAGCACAGAAATTTATTTTATATTTGAAACCTGGGGAGTGCCTGGGAAAAGAGCTATTTCTGAACTTAAAAGCAGATTTTAAAATTGTGAGTACTTTTGTAGCTCATGATGATTAGTCTTGTTCATTGTGGTCAGTGGTAGGCAGGTAGTCCTTGATTTACGACCATAATTGTTCCTGGGAATTCCATCACTAAGCAATGCATTTGTTAAGTGAGTCGTGTTTGATTTTTTACAACCTTTTTTGTTGTGGTTGTTAAGCAAATTACCTGGTTGTTAAGTGACTCTGTCTTCCCCACTGACTTTGCTTGTCAGAGGTCCCCTGGGGAAGTTGTAAATGGCAATCACTGCAACCGTCATGAATACATGCCAGTTGCCAAGCTCCCAAATTGTGATCACGTGACTGGGGAACACTACAACAATGCTAAGTGTAAACAACTGCTCTTAAGTTACTTTTTATAGCACCATCATAACTTCAAATGGTCAGTAAACAAATATTCATAAGTCAAGGACTACTTGTATAAGTAAAACATGTTCTCCTTTTTGCAGACCTTAGAGCAGTGGTGGGGAACTTGAAGCCTGCCTGATTATTATGAACTTCAGCTCCCAGCGGCCCTTGAGAACATTTCCTATAATGACATATTCTGGGAACCGAAGTTCAACAATAGTTGAAAAGTCACCAGTTTTATTGGCTTAGAAATGAAAAGTTGGAAGTTGGAAGCATAAACTATGGGTGCTCAAGATACAAATGGTGTGATTCCCTGCCCTTCAAAATTGATTCTAGAGATAAAGCCAGTTTGGTCTAGTGCAGGGGTAGGCATCCTTGGCTCTTTTATGGCTCAGGAATTCTGGGAGTTGAAGTCCACGAGTCATAAAAGAGCCAAGGTTGCTTACTCCTGGTCTAGTAATTAAGACACCAGTCTAGAAACCAAGAAACTGAGTTCTAATCCCACCTTAGGTATGAAAGCCAACTGGGTGACCCAGGGTCAGTCATTCTCTTTCAGCCCAATTCACCTCACAAGAGTGTTTGGGGAAAATAGCAGGAAGAAGGATCATCAGGTATATTTGTTGCTTTGAATTATTTATACAAATAATTACAGGCCAGATTTTTTTAAAAAAATCTAATATAAATTTTTAGAATATTTTTAACAGGTACGACTTTTAGCGTACTACTGAAAATTTGAACTTCCTTTTTTAGATGCTATCCCCAGTACCGATCAGATCAGAATAACTCCTTCATTAAAAAGCCAAAAAGGATCTGTATGGACAAAGAGCAAATCCATATTTGAATACTGGGAGATTGAAGTAACCTTCCGAGTGACTGGAAGAGGAAGAGTGGGAGCGGATGGATTGGTACGTAACACGAGCGGCAATTGGCAAACGCTGGATTGGAGGTTAGCAAGCCCGCGTTTGAGTACTGAGCGCTGCTGCTGCATGGCAGGGTGAGCTCTCGCCATTCGCTCCAGCTCCTGGATGGGGACACGAAAAGAGACCCCATGGGTTCCGGATGCAAACATGGTGGTTGCATGGATTGGAGTGCCTACAATTTGCTTAGATTTTCCTGTGTCTGAACAGGCCATCTGGTATACTGAAGGACAAGGATTAGAGGGCCCAGTTTTTGGTGCAGCAGACAACTGGAACGGTGTTGGCATCTTCTTTGACTCCTTTGACAACGATGCAAAGGTGAGTGAGAAGAGATTGAGGGAGGGATATGCTGTGGGTTGAACTTTAAATAATTTGTCTGGACCTTCTTGCTTTTTCAGTCTTCGTATCTTGTCCTACCTTTATGCTGACTTAATAAAGGAAGGGAGCGTCTTTTTGTTGGGGCGTCACTAATAACAGCCGTTATTACCGTTCGAAGTAATACTGGTAGTTTTCATCCAACTTAAACTAGACTAGACTAATATATATATATATTAAACTATCTCATTTATAGAACCCGAGGTTCCTGACCTTTTAACCTTTCAATATTTCATCTCACGTGTCCTTGTATTGCAGGGCTTTTTTTCAGCCGGAACGCGGCGGAACCGCGTTCCGGCACCTTTTTCCGGGCCGGCCGCACCGGGCGCAACATCTGGGGGGGCGCGCTCGCACTCGCAGCTCTCTGCCCCTGCCTGGCTCACAACCGCGGCCATAGGGAGGCTCGGTCGGCGCGCCCCTGGCCCGTTTCCTAGGCGACCCTGGGTTTGGGTGGGGGCGTGGCCAGGGGAGGGAGGTGAGTTCCACCACCTTTTCTCTGAGAAAAAAAGCCCTGAACATAACTATTAGTACTGCTTCATTTATTTATTTTTCTTAAGTTATGAACATCTCATCTCCATGACAGCTCTCAGTGGTGTACAGTAATAAAGTCATTATTTTAAAAAGTACAAGTAGAAAAGTACATGTGAGTGGAATAAGGGAGACCATTCTAAAAACAATACAGCATGCAGGACCTCCTGCACTCTAGAACGGGGGTCCCCAACCTGGGTCACTTTATGACTTGTGGACTTCAACTCCCAGAATTCCTCAGCCAGCATGAGACTGTATAGTTTTTCTTCACTGAATACAAGTGGTCCTCAACCATTCATTAAGTGTCTGTTCAAAGTTACAACCAAAAAAAACAACCCTGAAAAGCAGTCCTCACATTTATGAGCAGTCCTCACATTTATGACCGTCACAGCATTCCTAGGGTCACATGATCAAAATGCAGGTGCTTGACAATTGGCATGTTTTACAACGATTACAATGTCACAGAGTCATGTGATGACCATTTGGGACCTTATCAGGCTCCTGACAAGCAAAGTCAGCCCGGGAGGGGGGGGGGAGCAGATTCATTTAATGACCGTGTGATACACTTAACAGCTGCAATGATTCACTTAAAAAACATGGCAAAAAGGAAATGGAAATTCTGGTCTCAGTTATGGTCGTAAGTCAAGGACTGCTTCTATTTTGTTTTATTTAGAATGACCTTGTGTCATTCATATGAGTTTAATTTTCACCTGTGGATTATTCTGACTGTTAAATTTGTATTGATAAGATGCTTCTATTTTAAAGTGATGGTTCCACACAAGCATTGGCATCATGTCAAAGAGATTTTCGTAACAAGCCGTATCCCGTCCGTGCAAAGGTTGTTTACTATCAGAGGACACTATCTGTAAGTAATTTCAGCTCTCATTATACTTTATGTATATTTAAAGAGTTAAGTTAAAGTTAAGAGTGAGTTAAAAGTATACTTTGAAAATGCGAAGCAATCCTAATGTATTGCAATTGATACTGATCTTTCCGATCTTGTGAAATGATTTTTGCATTGATTAAAGTTTGGCAGAGAGATAAATCATTGGGGTTCTGCAGCATAGGAAAACGTTATGCTAACTGCACCCAGTTTGAAAACTTGTAGCAAAATGGTTCCCAGTTTTTTTTTTTGAATGAATAAACTGCAAATAGTCAACCTCAGCTGGAGCTTATATGCTGAAAAGAAAGAGATAATATATCTAATAAATGAAGAGTGAAATTGTATTCTCAGTTCCAGGACGCAAAGCACGAGACGCAGAAACAGACTGTTTTATCTCTTTGAGGACAAAAGAGATTTCTCATGTAACTGAAAATAACATACTGGCTGATGACGATAATTTAAACAAGTCACTTGTCTATCTGACTTAATTTAGTATTGCTACTCAAATGATCACAGGTGACAGGGCTGGAGAAAAAGCCTTAGTTTGTCTGAATCAACAGACTGAGCTACGTACAGATCAACTAGGTAGACCAGTGTCTAGGGAGATTCTCAATCATCCAGGCCATGGTTGTCCCAAAGCTGCTTTTCCAAAAGGCAACTGGACTTTCTTGGGTTTTTTTTCCTTGAAAAGATTTCGCTTCTCATCCAAGAAGCTTCTTCAGTTCGTAGACCAGTCCTATCCAACCTGCAGTCCATGGACTGCATATGGCCCTAGGCGGCCCCACAGGATCGTTAACCCATTAATATTATTATGTGTTTTATATACATTAACTATACTATATATTTTATATGTCATCCAAGACATTTCCTCTTCACTCAGTGCAGGCCAAAAGGTTGGACAACTATGAAGTAGACAATTGGCCTAATTCTGTAACAAGTGACTTCATCTCTGTCTCTTTTCTTCCAAGGTATTAATAAACAATGGCTTTACTCCAGACAGAGAAGACTATGAGTTTTGTGCCAAAGTTGAAAACATGGTGCTGCCTTCTCAAGGGTACTTTGGCATCTCTGCAGCAACAGGTGGCCTCGCAGGTGATTTTACCATTCAGGTTACCTTTCCCCTGATGATTTTGTTCAAGAAATGATTTCTGTGGTTGAGATAGATAGATAGATATTGAGTCAAAATGCCTGCAGACTTAATATCTGTAAAAAAAAAA